TGTATTATCTCACTCGACCATGGAATCCGAATTCATAGCCTTAGCGGCTGCTGGAAAAGAGGCTGAATGGATTAGGAATTTATTATTGGATATAAAACTTTGGCCTAGTCCTATGCCTCCAATTTCCATTTACTGTGATAGTGAGGCAAATCTGTCAAGAGCCTACAGTGGTACCTACAATGGTAAGTCCAGACATATAAGTCTGAGACATGAATTTGTTAGGCAGCTAATTCAAGATGGAGTCATCACTATAACCTATGTGAGGTCAAGCAAAAACTTGGTTGATCCTTTTACCAAGGGCTTGGCCAGAGAATTGGTAAGAATGACAACCAAAGAGATGAGATTAAAACCCTTTACTTAGTCACTTGTAATGGTAATCCAACCTGAACTGAAAAACCATCAGTATTGGGTTTAATGTGTAACAACAAATTACAGCAATGTGACTGTTAGCACTGACATTGAGAAATTTCCCATCATAACATAAACAGTGTTGTCCGTTATGATGAGAGGTTGAGTTAAACTCTTAATGAAGTTCTAAAATGTGTCAAATAACGGAACACATAGTGGAACTTCACCTATGTGAACATAGAAGTGGTGCCGCTTCTCATGAGAGTTTGGGTTTGCTCTCGGGATTGTTCATGAAACCAGGAAAAAAGCACATAGCCATAACAGTGCTGAGCAAAACTTGAAACTCTTGCAGAGACTGGACATTTTTGTGTGTATGGGTATCTCCGGTCTGTCTTGAGAGTAATTAGTTTAAGGTCTTACCACCAATAACTTTGACAAGGCTCTGAGATATTTATACTAACAAAAGGTTTAAGTTGATAAACACCTTTTCTATGCATAACTGTGTCATAGTAGTTTGGATTGAGAAAGAATTATGTAATTGATCAATCAATGTGAGGGATTGTTGGATTTTAATCTCACAAGAGATTAAATCCAATGGGTTTGATTGGTCAATTACATGAGAAATTGCACCTGCACATTTGATTGAAAAATTAGCTTTTCTCTTACAAAATCCAGTTTTGAACTTGTCCCACATTGGAAAATTATAAGCTTTGTTTTCAGTATTTTAGTAGGAGCTGATTTACACTCTTTAGAGATAGTAGAGAAGAGTATGGGGGTTTGATACCGCGCAACGCGCGCGCACACGTGTGTGCGATGCAATGGGGCGCTTTAGAGGCACACTTTGCTCGCACCCGCGTGGCTCGCGAAGGGCGGCTTTGGTTTTGGTGCGATGCTGACCGTTGATCACCGTTGATGAGATCAACGGTCACGATTCGATCGGGTGTGATCAAGAGACGCAATTCAAAGTTAACAGTCATTAACTGTTAATTACTTTTTAAACAATCACAATGTTTGAAATTGTGACTGTTCAATGTGCCTTATCTGAACCAGCACCTACTTTTTCTTCATACCTCTTCATAAACTATTTAAGGAGCATGAATCAGACTCAAAAAACACACAATTTTGAAATTCACTCACTCACTCTCTCTCTCTCTCTCTCTCAGTCCGGTCTGCTACAGTCTCACAGAAGGTTTCTTTGGAGACTCTTTAAATTTGCTGGTTGCAGATTCTCGCCCAAGGCTCTGTTGTATCCTGGGAACGAATTTGCTTGTAACCCAACAACAAACTCAGTGTAACTGAGTGGGGGCAAATAACGTTCTAAAGACAGTGTCTTCAGACGCACCTCAGAGCTTCTCCTCCAAAGTTACGGTGACCCCATTCTTCCAACATACGTAGCTTGGAGTAGTTTATGACATAGTAAGCCATGGCAAACTGGATTTGGTTCTCAGGAGGCTAGATGGACTCGATTTCTCGGACGATGCAACCTTGAGACATCAAGATCTCACGGTGTTCTTTGGGGACATCGGGCAAGATGGCCACTACTCCCTTGACTAATCCAACAACTCCCTTCACGTAATCACCATTACTGGCGAGAAACGTCATGTAGGCCCTCTTGGAGTATTCCCTATTGGGGGTCGCGACCTTGCCGCCGATGCCTGTGAATACATCCACCAGCACTCCTGGGGCCATGCTTAATTTCAAGTTTTGCAATTAAGGGTTGGAGTTGGAGGAGAAGAGGAAAAGAAGACTAGGAAAACTGTTGACAATGTCTTGACTCCTGATACTGAGGTGAGGAGTGTTGGGAAAGTAAAGCCAGCAACGCTGAGGATGCCAACCTACTCGCCTTTTGTTCCTAAGCTTTATAATGGTTCCCCTATGCTCCCTTAAATAAGCCTCAAATGAGGACTAAATTCATGCCAAAGGTAACCCAAATGAAGTTTTTGGGCTTTTACGATTTTCTACTGTTATTATTGAATGGACATGGAACGAATGGGAATGGGGTGCAGCCGACCGTCGATCTAGCCTTATCATCTGAATAAATGGACAAGACTACAGAGAAAATAATATTTCCTCCGTTCAGAGAGTCGGGTGAGAGAAAGAATGAGAGGGAGGGGAAAAGAAGAAAAGAAAGGAAAAACAATAGGTTAAATAGGTTTCAAGAGAAAAGGGGCAAAGAAAGAAAATAGAAAAAATTTAATAAGATATTTTGGTAACTTAATGCATTCTGCCATGTGACTTAATGGTCAAAAGGGGTCTTTGTCTCACAGTCGGGAAAGTCTTTGTCACGGACTCCATAATACAAGGAGGGCGTCTTTATAATTTACCTTATTTTTTATTTTTAAATTGCAATAAACCATCCGTTTGGACTAAATGATCGAACCGCTAACCCTTTCCTGGTCGGATTTTAAAACATTGATTTTTTGTAGTAGATTCATAACCCAAAACACTACGGTTTCTGATCTGTTTCCAATTCATCTTGGTATATTCTTTGTTATGGTTAACCATGCATCATTTTACATGATTTTTTTTCTTGCAAAACATCTAATGAATTTACGTGCCTTTTTTAATCTCTGCTATTTTGCTTGCTTTTTCATTCTAATTATTATTGTCAATTATAAATATAGTATAGGTGATTTTGTTAAATATTCAATCCGCCAAAAACTCTAAAACCTCTGTCGTTGTCAATTACAAAATAAATTTGAAGAAACAGGATACGCCAAACATCATTCTGACCCTGAAAAACAGGAATTGAAATCATTTGCCAAACACAAACTAACACTATTTGCAAAGTGCCAACTGCCAACTGGCTGATTGGTAAGGTCACTGCTGGTTGTAGCGGAGACTTGTTTATCAAAATATGGACACATATGAGTGGGTCCCTTAGCCTACAGAATAGAATTTCTCACCATCGGCCAGGCACTTGTATGAATAGCAGAAGTTAGGTAAAAAGTCAGCAAACTCGTTAATATCAAAACCATATATTGATGTAAGCAGATCCACAGACGTGACAGCCCTCCCTCTCCTGGCTGCCCGTCTTTTCTTTTGATAAATGCTCTCCCCTTCCAAGTAGCACAAAAGTTGGCCAGAAACTAACTATCAGCCATCACGAGCTTCTCTCCTTGTGGCATCGTGAAGAAGTTCAATGTCGACTCCCTCTGGAGGTAGCTGAACATATCGCACCACCGATCCCCTGATAAAGCAATTCCTCACTGAAAGCTGCAAATTGGAACACAGAGAGATGATCAACTGCCACCCAACATGACCAACATAATCAAGTTATTCAAACCTATATGAAATCAAGGATGTTGCCTCAGGATGGGTTTGAAATACAATCATACAAGCCATAATCAACCTTCAACCCATGTTTCTAACCTGATGCGATCAAATCTAATTTTGTTCAATTCTAACCAACCCACGCCAGGCTAGGTAGAAAAAGGCTAGACTTGGCGTAAATACATCAGAACCAACAGTAAGAGAATAAAGAGGTCAGTCTCATGCTCATAATAGTCATTGACAGGTCAACCAACTAATCAATCAAGGGCGTACTGACTGCATCACTAATTAGTTGGTTGGTCACCATCATGTGGTCGCCTCAAGCATTGATTAAATCAACTAGGTCCATCGTCCTGGTTGACTAAGCCAACTACAAAATTATTTTAAACTCTTATTTGCTCTGTTTTTATCTCTAACAAAATGAAATTATATCATATATACCTATGTTTTGTTATATGCACGTTAGTAGCATCAATTGTGGTAGCATGTGGTTGAATGATGGTATATGAAATAAAGACAAGGCATAACCACATAAGATAAAGGATGAAATAGGGAGAACACATCAAGTGGTCAAAGTGTAGTCATTCTTTGAAAAGTATATGTTGTGTTTGTGCCTAAAATTCTTTATTGAGACCCGCTTCATGACCCACTATGAACCAAGTTAAGAAAAACCTGAAGATAAATTTTCATAGTGGTTTGTGGTGAAAGTAGGGATGGCAATTTTCCCCATCCCTGATGGGGATAGAGACGGGGACGGGGATGGGGATTGAGGTTCCCGCCCCGCCCCTGATTATGTATATATACATACATACATATATATATATATATATTAAATATGTATTATTATATTATTTATATTATATATATCAAAATATATTTAAAACATTATTTATAATTTTAAAATTTTATTTATTTTAAATACATTTATTTTTCATAAAAAATACTGTTATCTAAAAAAAATTTCAGGGATTCGGAATCGGGTCCCCACAGGGAACCCATCCCCGTCGGGGATCAGGGATGGAGGACAAATTTTATCCCTGGTGGGGATCGGGGACGGGGATGGGGGTTAATTTCAGAATCATGGTCGGAGATGGGGAATATGACCCCGCCCCGAACCCGCCCCATTGCCTTTCTTAGGAGAAAGCATAGGGCCCATAGCCCACCACTAACCACCATTGGGGGTGTGGGGGTAGAGCCCCCGGCAGTATGACACTGATCCATATTCAGCTTATGGGTTCGACTCGAATACGATACATTATGTTGTTTGGGGGTTTTCTCTTTTGTGCATCTTTGGCTTTCTAGAGAAGTTGAGTTTGAGAGTTTGGGTGTATTGGAGTTTAGGGTTTCTGTGAGAGAGGTTGTGCACAACATGTAATCTTTATCATTGTTTTTATATAGTAATTTCTGCTCCTCCTTTGCCTGTGGGCTTATATAAGCCAAACCACGTAAATTTGTGTGTGCATTGTTCTCTTGCTTCTCTTTATCTTTGTTTTACTTCATTTTCTTATGCCGTTCAAATTTGTGTTTCTGGATTTGGATGTATCATATCGTTCTTTTTTTTTATATGTATGATATCATTCTTTTATTGCATATTAAATATCTATATTAACATATATTGCATAAAAATCTTAAATTTAGAATGTTTATTTTTTGTGATTAACTAATCAGTGCCTAGGAGCTGACCGGCCACCACATGCCCTAGGGAGGCCAAAACAACTACCCATTACCTCACTGCATTGACAACACTGAACCATAATAAGTCATATGTTTATTTTGTTTTCTTTTATTTTAGCAATGCTGCATGCTTGGACTCCGAAGTGGATGAAGTGTCTGTGTCAAGCACTTCATGGATTCTTGATGGACACTTCAACATTACATTTTCCTTTATCTACTTGCTTAGTTGACATAAATGAATGGCTAATATAGCAACAAATGTCATATTGTCATTGTTTTTCGAAACCATTATTAAGTAACAGAGATAAAGTTGTAGACCTTTTTATGGATATATAATGTTAGAATTCTTAAAAAAATATGGACAACATTTTATAGTAAAAAATAAAATTTAATAAAGGAAAAGGAAAGAGAAAACAAAACAGAGAGAGCGGTCCACAATAAAAGAAAGCCACTCAGATCCAGATGTACAACCCTACCAAAATACTAGCTACTCAACATACACAATTCAGGCGACTCTGAAACCTCCAAATCGCCATACACAAAATGATCCAAAGAACCAGTCCAACAAGAACAACAATCATCCATACTGATAAGAGCACTAAATCGCCTGCTTCCTACCTCTGCCATAGTATTGCTCCTCCCTCTTCCCCTAATATTCTTAGATGCACATTAATACCACATACTGAGAGTTCATCTCCAGGTAAAAGACCTTTAAGTCTTTCATCTTACATCCTGGCCTAGCAAAGCCTGGGGAAGAGGTAGGAAGGATGAACTACTTTACCACAAATTAAAATAGTTTTCGATGCAAATTACAGAAGAATTCTTTCTGTGCATTTATATTAGAATTCCATATGTCAAATTAAAATCCCTTAACATTCTCATCAATAACAAAAAGCCTTGACATTAGATTTCCAAATTAGAACACTTGACTAGACATCATCCTTTTTTATCAGCACTCATATATCCACTATCAACTTAATACCATTCTAAATTGAAGCCTTCATAGCTCATACCCTGTAAAGTTAGACCTACAATGTTCAAGAAAACCTAGGCAGCAAACTTAAAGAGCCTAGCTACAGTGCCTGTATATAACATTTCTTCAATTAAACCCTAAGTACCCATCCATTCGCAGTTTCGCACGTGTCCTTCCTTTCAGAAATTGGGAAAGCATTAGTATCCAATTCGACAAGTCTAAACCATACACTTCTCAGAACAGTGAATTTTCAACAGTGCCTTGTACCATAGCTCTTCCAATTGATTTGGTGTCAACAACACCCAGAAACAGCATCTTCAGTCCTCAACAATGAACCTACATTTCATTGCATTCGTATTCCTCGTCATGTTTAAATCAACGGCATAACTCTGAATGTTCTGAAAGTACCATTACCATAACTCCCAATCTCTAAAAAGATCAAATTACCGTATTTTCTGATTTGTCAGCTAAATGTTGTTTGAGTCTGTATTCCCTACTGTTAGAACTTAACAAAGGGGCTTTCTTTTACTTCATCAATTAAAAAAAACAAAAACACCTTGACCGTTTTAGTGATCAAGAAAATACTAATTACTGCACCCAGAAACTCAAACCCTAGACCTAGATTTTCATATGGCGCTCACTCAGGAACAGGAACCCACTTAATTCTGTTGACAATATCATGATTTTGAGATTGCTTTTAGAAACTAAAAGTTAGGAAGTATGCTAACCATCAACGTTCGGTATCAACTTCGTCAAAAGCAACCCAATGAACGAAATGGGAAACGAAAGTGGAATCCCCAAAAGATCTGAGAGACGAAGATACCAAGTGAGGATACTTCTCTTGATCAACCACTCTAGTGTTCTCGAGCTTAATATTCAGATATTGATCAACAGAATGCAGAGTCCCCCTAATAGCGAGGTCGTTCTTCAATTCGACCGTCACTTCTCTGCCAACCAAATCCTTAAAATACGAGAAGAACAACTGCAAAAGTAAAGAAACAAATGAGGATCAAACTATAAAACAAGAAAACCCATGAAGAGAAGGGGAAAAAAACACGATAAGATGAGATGAATTGAAACAATTCAATAAGACTTCAAGGAGACTTTACCATCTTTCGTCTCTCCGAAAATTTAAAAGAAAACGAAGAGTCGAAGGCTTCTCTGTTTGCTCTGCTAGCCCAGTCCTAAATTGGTCATAACAAACATGATGGAATGTTGGAAAAGGAATGCCCCCATCTTAAATGTGATTATGAACACTGTGCAAGAACCGTTTGATTTTGTCTGGGGATTGATAAGCTACATCTTGAAGACGTGAACAGTATCAAAGATCCTAAGCATCATGGGCAAATGATTCTAATCCGCGGTTATTCTCTGCTTATGCAAACTTGAAGTTGGGGATGTGGAGCCAGCGAGGGCGAGGGTGAAGAGTGAAGACGGCAATCAGTCGAGAAGTCCGGCCCACAAAATTTTGGGCTTGGACTTAGATGTTATGTTAGGCCCGCTTGAAATTATAAATAATATAATTGTAACTATATTTAGGGACATGGCATTTCTCTTAAATAATATAATTGTAACTATATTGAGTTTTATTATCCAAAACTCACATTCATCATTCATGTCATATTTAACTATTTTTTTACATAACCAAACTACCCCTAAATGGCCAATCATCCTTATTGAATATTTTTTATGACAAAAGTATTCCTAATTTGGACTCAAGCTCACACCAGCCCAATCCATATATATAATCTATACTACTATTAAAAGTGTGAATAGAGTGTGAAAGTTTTGTTTGACTAAAATATCTCAATTTTTGAATTTGATCCATCTTTCATTGTAAGGATAGAAATGTAATTTCAACAACCACTTTTATCCTCATTCAAATCCCTTTCATTTAAGTCTTATATTTAAGGTATTAACTCTCATTAATATTTATTGAATCTTATTCTTGACTAGAATACCCCTATTTCTGAATTTGATCCCTCTCTAATTGTGACTTTGTGAGGGCACAAAATGTAATTATTCTCATTCTTTCATTAAATCTTATTAATTGATCATATTCAAAATATAAGTGTTACAAATAATTATTGTTTTATTGACAATAGAAATAAAATATAAATTTAAAGATAACCAAAAATATGGAATTGTTTTCTTGTTTGGTGGTGAGTCAACAATTCAGCCTCATAGGTCAAATGTGTAAACCCTTTATGCCATAATTAAATAATAATAAAAATTAAAAAATATATATGAAAACACACATAAGAATAAAAAATATAAAAGAAAATGTAGAAAACATTTTGACACATCTCTAATATCATATATTTTATCATATTAAACAAAAACAAGTGGTAAATAAAAATAATTTTGATAGACGTATAAATATAAAAATTGTAGAAATTTTTAAAAACATATTATTTACTATCATCATTATCATCATAAAAAAATTGTCACATGCAAAAAGCACATTCACACTTACTATTTTAATAATCTTGAATTACCATTCAGGAGTAGTTTGGTTATGTAAAATACTTAAATGCTTATGTGGACAACTTTTGTTAATAAATAATAATCACTTAGTAGTGACCGAACAAAAATCTAATGAAATATGAGTTTTAAACAATAAAACTCATTGACAGGGATTCCTTGAAGGTTTTGAAAAGTCATGGTGAGTTTTAAGAGAAATGTGAAAAGTCATGGTGAGCTTTAGATATTATCCTTATCTATACTATATACATAAGCTAAGCAATCCATGTTAGCATGCATGCCTCTCCTTTCCCAGTCCTCCCATTAAGTTAAGTCAGTACCCTCTCTCTCCACTCCTCTCCTTTCCATTGGATGTAAATTCATTCCTCTCCCATGAATACCTTGACTTCCCTACCCAACTTTCTCATTAGGCCATGTGGCAAGGTAGAGAAAGACAGGGACTAAGGGAAGTAGTGCAATATAGATGGAAATCGAGAAATTGACATAATATAGATAGAAGCAAAAATTTAGATGAAAGTAACATAATATAGATGGAAATATGAAAACAAAAATTTAGATGAAAGTAACATAATATAGATGGAAATATGAAAACAANCCTTGCCCTTGGCCTTGCGTACAGGCCCTATTTTGACTATCTCGTGGGTGATTTGTCCAAGAGATCACCCGAACTCTCCCAATGGGTGATTTGTCCAAGAGATCACCCGAACTCTCCTTACTCTCTTTCTTGACTGCGAAAACTGAATGTCCTTTATTTCAATTCGTAGCTCCTTAAATAGGAGATTACAGAAGAAAAATTCTAATTAAACTCAAACTCCAACTTGAACTGAAACTCCTAATTACCTACTGTAATTGGTAACACACTCTTACTTAAGATAAGATAAAGATAAGATAAGATAAGGGATGAGGATAAGGCTGGTGGCGAGTTCTTTTGACCTGTCCTGATAAGGGTGGGCCCACCCCTATGAGCTGTCGTGTGGGCCCCGCTCTGCTGCTGCTGCCGGGTGTGTGCGCGCGGCTCATGGTGCCGCCGCCGGTGCGTGCACGTGGTGTCGTTGCCGCGCAATGCGTGTGCACGGCACATGGTGCGTGCTGCTGTGCACGCTGCCGAGCGGAGCGTGCTGCGTGTTGCTGAGCGGTGCGTGCGGCGCGCTGTCGGGTTGTTGTGCGGCGCTCTTGGCAGTGCGTGCTGTTGGGCTGCCCGTTGTGCGTGCTGCTGTCTATGCCTGCACCGAAGTGTGTTGCCTGGTGGTGTGTCCATAATAGGTCCCCTGAACTGGCCTCTCCTCCGGAGGCTGCCTCTACGGTTGTTCGACCGGCCTGCTGCTGGACTCGGGAGCATCCTTACCGTGCTCCCCTTTCCGACCTGATTTATTACTATTATTATTATTCTGTACAAAGTTTCTTAGATATCCGTGATGGATGAGCTCCTCTATCTCGTCGTGGAGGGTTTTACAACTCTCGGAACTGTGACCGTGATCTTTGTGAAAACTGCAATACAGATTTTTATTTTTTTCATTGGGATTCCCCCTCAGACGGGGTGGCCACTTCACGTACAGGGCGTCCTTGATCGCCATCAGGATTTCAGCCCGCTTCGTGTTCAGTGGGGTGTAATCAGCTCGGTCCGCTACAGGAGGTCGAAATAATTGACCCGGCTTTGCCCCCCGAGCTGTGTCCTTTTTCTTTTGGTTGTCCCCTTGACTGGAAAGCTCTCCTTCCCTTTTCCTTTTTTCGGGCGCGCCCTCGCCCTTTTGGTTGATCTCTTCTTTGGTGGCTATGAATCTGTCCATAAGCTTCAGAAACTCGGTTATGGTCACTGGTTGGTTGACGACCATGTGGCATTTGAACTCCTTGTGTGTCATGCCTTTCTTGGCTGCTACAAGGCGTACAGCGGGGTCCAGGCGCGGTATCTGCATACAAGCATCGTTGAACCGCTTGATATAGCCCCGGATGGACTCTCCCTCTCTTTGCACTATGCTGAGGAGGCTTTCTTCAGTTCGCGGGCACCGTTTGCTGGTGACGAAGTGGGACGTGAAGGCTTGTGCGAACTGTGCCCAACTTCTTATCGACCCAGGTGCCAAGTTCCGGTACCACGTGCGGGCTGCTCCCCTAAAAGTAGTGGAGAAAGCCATGCACATGCATGACTCACTGGCTCTCGCCAGGTGCATCTGTGACAGAAGGGCATCTACGTGATCATTTGGGTCAAACGACCCGTCATATTTGTCAAGAGGGGGGAGCTTGAAGTCTTATGGCATTGGGACTGCCAGAAGTTCGGAAGACAGGGGGGATGGAATCGAGAGGAGGGGAGCTTTGACTTTGGCCGAGCTTACCTCTTCTTTGCCCATGAGCTCAGGCAAATCGCGGGTGACAGATCGGCGAGCTCGGCGGCGGCGCCTCTGCTTCTTGGTGGGCTTGGCGTTCGTGCTGCTCACCTCTGCGCTGTCCGGGATGGTTTGTGCAGGAAGTAGCCCGGTCTGCTGGTGATGGCTGCGGACAGAGGGATCCCGCTTGGAGTCTRTTGCCAGGACCTCGAACTGGTTCTCAAGGAGCGGGGTTTCAAACTTCGACTTCCGAGGTGATGTAGACCTGGCGAGCTGGGGTCCTCCCGACCTATCTGCCCGCGGTGAGATCAGGGTAGCCGGTCTCTCTCGTCTGCCGCGGAGGGAGGCCTGGTTTTTTGGGAGGTTTTGGGAGGCCTCTCCTTGGCCAGAGGGGCGCTCGTCCTGGCGGCGAGAAGTTGAGGTTGAGGTTGAGGGGGGAACTGCTACTGATACTAATACTGGGAGACCTGGTGCAGTACGTGTTGTTGATAGAGTTGAAGCTGCTGGAACTGTTGCATTTGGGCCTCATGGCTCGCATGCACTACATCAAGTCCTTTAGTTGGTTTGGGCTGGCTGCTGGGCGCACGACCGAAGGTTCGATGAATGTCGCTCTGACTGTAGCAGGGAGTGGGGAGATGACAGGTGCCACTGTGAGAGGCACATTCAAGCTAGGGATTCCGTCCACTGAGAGGGGGATGGTGAACTGTCTGATACGGACAACAGGAAGTTGGGGTTGTTCCCTGGAGTTATCCATTTCCGTGCTTCGTCTGACGTTGCTAAAGGAAGCCATGAGCGTTGGATTGTTTCAAGGATGAAAAGAACTGAGAAAGTTTAGAGAGAAAGGCCTTTTGAAGCGATTCCCACAGATGGCGCCAAATGATGTAGCGCGATCCGGTCACTCCTACCTGGCACTCGTGTGGCTCCTAAGATGTACCTGAGACGAGAGGAAAGAGGAAGAACTCCCGGGGGGTTTCCCGGCGGGAACGCTCCGATGCTTAAGTTAGTATTGTGTGCAAGAAGCAAAAGAAAAACGAAGGCTAAGAGTGCCGGTTGCGCAGATGATTCGAAGATACCTTGTTCCTTGAGAATAAGTCCCTTATAACTGAATTCCATTGCTTCAGGCCCTCTGACTTCTGATAGGGCAGGTATAACCGCCACTGTCAGTCTGCCACAACCGTCGTTGCAGGGTACGTGCCTGTCAGGTGCGGGACACCTTTCTAAAGGTGGCAGACGCGGCGCTATCTGACGAGGAACATGTCTGCTGTCCACAAATTTGTCGGGTACGATGGTCGAGCAGGAAGCCCTCCTGTGGTATACCGAACTACCCTCCCGCGAATTACCCTGAGTCGGGCTGTCCTTTGAGCGACGGGCTGCCTGTAGCCAGTTATGCCGAGCTAACTGACCCGAGGTGTCTATGCCTCGGGGTGTCCAGAGATGGATCGGTGCGTTCTTGCCTGAGAATGGCTTGAGGTCCACTGGGAGGAGCTCGGGCCTTAAGAGAGGTC